TCATCACTATGAATACTGCACAGAATCTGGCTACCTTACACTCTGAGACTGAAAAGCTGGAACCCACATCCAAAACACTGGAGCCCACTGTTGCACTGATGGCTTCAATTATCTTCCTCTCTGTGATCTGCTGTTCTGCTTCCTGGAGCCTAAGTCATGCAAAACAACACATGCCTAAAGTTTTCCTCTTGTGATTTTGTTCAGAGAATGTTACTTCAAGTTTAAATGGAGGCCTTTAGTCAGCTGAGCAGTGCTTTGTAGCCTGCACTAATCAAAATCAGTCCTAACCTTATAAAAACAAATATAAAGGACTTTTCATGATGTCTTTAAAGTAAAGGTACGACCTTAATAAAGTAAAAAGATGTAACTTCCTTTTTTCCTTCCCTGTGCAAATAGTCTGGAAACATCTTAGCTGTCACTGTCCTTAGCCTGGTAATCATTTGCCTCTGAAATTTTTGTATGTAAATGCACAAGACAGGAGGGAGCTAAACCTGGAAGTAGGCTGTGAAGGGCTTACATTTTAGTCAGTCAAAAACAGGGTGCAGTATGTCTAACTTGAACTATTATGTAAATGCACAAAACAGGAGGGAGCTAAACCTGGCTGTGAAGGGCTTACATTTTAGTCAGTCAAAAACAGGGTGCAGTATGTCTAACTTGAACTATGTCCTGAGCTGAAGAAGAAGAAAAGAAACAGTCTGTAATCTAGCAAACAAGAGTAAAAAAGTATCAATTCTGATATTTGCTGAATTGAGAGGATTAATTCTTAAGATGAGGAAAACAAATCCGTTAGCTTCAGCACTCCAAGTTTGTTGTTAATGAATATGAAGACTTGAGTGCTGTCATGGAGTTACGTCAAAGATGAAACAAAGATAATTAGACTCGGCTATCCAGCTAACTTTAGGAGTAGCCCTCCAGGTTTTGCATCCTTTTCCTTCTGTAACAGGTATGGAATCTGTAAGGTCTGTTTTTAATGTAGGTATTTGTCCAAGTTGTATGGTTTTAGTTTCACATGAAACTTAGTGTTTAGCTTTAGGAGCTGGTCCTTTTCATTACCTACAGTATAACAAACAGCTGCATGTAGTTGCAATGCCATGAATAAAGGCAGGTGGAAGATGATGGTCAAGATTCCTGTAGCTAAATCTTGTAAGTGTACAGACTGAGTAAGCAACATCAACAGTAATCATGCTAAAGAATCCCTGGTTTGCTTTTCTGAAACGTCTTGGTATTTTCCTTTGTGAGAAGAGTAGGTGAATAAAGCTTGATTCTGTGAAAAAGGAAACAGGCATATTATTATGTTTTCTCCTGGTAAATGAACTTTTGGAGTCCTGGTGTTCTATGGTTTATTTTATATTGGACAGGTTCAGGAGAACTGTAAAAATAAAACATTTTTCATACAAAATAATCTTGTTACAACACTTTTTATAAAACCACATTGCTAATGATATTTGTGATTCTATCATGTCAGTGAACTACTGCTCCTGGAATTATGGTATATATAATTTCTTTATAAGCACATGAAATGCAGGTGTCACTGCTGACTGCAGTATCTGTTGCTATCATTATAAGACATTATAGGTGCACATGTAAAGCTAATGATAGTCACTGCACTAGAAGAGAAGGGTCTTTAATATTCTTAACATTTTTAATGATGTAATTATGAAATTAGGTAGTTTATATCTGACTTGGCACTGAAATGTCAAGGGCAAGACTTACCAGCTACTTTGGGAAGTTTACTTCTCCTTTAGGTGGTATTTAAAAGACAGTTGTATGAGTTTTAATTAGGTATGATATTAAAAAGTGTTTAAATCTTCTATTCTGCAACTGAGGGAAAAGAGATCATTTAAATCATAAAAGGGTATCTTTCTCAAAGGGATTACTGTGGACTGTGTAGCTATCTGCAAGCCAACCAGAATTCCTAGTTCTATCATGTCAAAAGATTGATACACTTGGCTAATTAGGAAGCTGGTTGGGACTGGTGCCAGTCATCTGCAGCAGCTTGTGAAAGCCGATTTAAAGGCCCCTTAGGAAGTGTTAATATTGAACACGAGTATTTGTGACTCTTGTACTGGCATGGTAGTGATGTTGTGTACAGCTCTCCCAAGGTAATTTAAAAGATTTCTCACATACTGCATGGTAGACTCTCATTTCTTCATCTCCCCATCATAGGCACTTGGACAACATTATTAATAGTGTGGGTACTGATAGTTACCTGCATAACTTGGCAAAAGTTGTCACAGTCAGCTGCTGATATGGGTATCAGAAACTGGAGTCTGGACCCTACTGAAGCTGTAGTACTGAAGTTGTACGAGTTTGAAAACCAGGCTTTCTACATGTTTCGGGTACAAAGATTGTTAAGTAACTTTTATTTGCAGTGGTTGGCTTGTTTCAATACATCCATGTATACAGAGCAAGTATTAGAGGAGCTTTTTCATTCAAGTTTCAATCTTCTACAATTTATTCTTCTGATGCTGTTTTGCATGTCAATGGAAGCACTAATCTATAATCCACTTTGTGACTACCAGAATATTTCAGATAAGTGTGAAAAACAAATAGTGCACGTAAATGTTACAGCTCTACTACAATAAGTTGTGGGTTTCAAATATTTCTGTTTAATTATTTTAAATCTTCTTTTTAAAAAATTTATTTGATTAGCCTTTTTATAGTAGTCAGGGGTTTTTTTATACTGAAAATTGTTATGTTTTTGAAATTACTGTGAAATCTGTAGTAGTCTTGGACAGGCTTAAGAGGAAACAGATGACATGCTGACATAGCATTGAAATTTTTCTTCTGTTATTCCTACTTCCTAAAATAAAACTTATGAACTCTTTTTCATAGACATTAATGGCATCATTTTGGTGACTGTGATACTATTCAGTATTGTTTGAATTGCCATTACCCAAAATGCTTATCAGCTTTCCTCCAGCATTCATGTTCGTTAATGTAACTAATGGCTTGGCTCAAAATGTCTTCAGGCATTGTGTTGGTTTGAAACTATTCACTGACTATATTCATTCTAGACATTAGTATTTTAAAGAATTGCATGACATCAGATGGAGAAAGTTAAACAAGTAACAAAAACCCCCTACCAAACCAAAAAGAAAAAAAAACCAACCACAAAAAAACCAACCCCAAACCAAACCAAAACCAAAATAAGAAAAAGCAAAACGAAATCCAAACCTGAACAAACAAATAGGAAGCCAAAGACAGTCTTTGTGACTGATTTTTTTATAAGGTGTATTCCAAGCCATACTAATGGGTGTGATAGTCCATTAGTCATAAGAACAAGCTTCAGTGTAATAAATAAAGCATGTTATAGCAAACACAAAGAAAAATGAAAAAAACATTCTATATTTCAGTCTTCATGTTTATTCTATACCTGCCATAAATACAAATGTTAGGCAAAATTATGATTTCTTTGCTAATTTTCACTTATTTGGTTTTGTGTGTAGCACTTTTGTCTAAGGTTGAACAGAGTAGTCTGGTAGTACAGAGTATAGAGAAAAGAGAAGAACTAAGGGTTACTGTTTCCTGGATAAAAAGCTGGCTGGATGGCTGAGCCCAGAGTGGTGGTGAGTAGAGCTACATCCAGCTGATGGCTGGCCATGAGTAGCCCTCCACAGGGCTCAGAGTTGGGCCCTGTCCTGTTTAGTATCTTCGTCAGTAATCTGCATGAGGGAATTGAGTGCCCCCTTAGTCAGTTTGCAGATGACACCAACCTGGGTGACAAGTGTTGAATTGCTGGAGGACAGAAAGGCTCTGCAGAGGGATCTGAACAAGCTGGATCAGTGATCCAGATGTATGAGGTTCAACAAGGCCAACTGGTGGGTCTGGGATGTGTGTCACAGTAATCCCCTGCAGGCTGGGGGCAGAATGGCTGGAAAGCTGCCCAGCTGAAAAGGCCCTGGGGGTGTTGATTGACAGCAGCTGAAAGTGAGCCAGTGTGTGCTCAGGTGGCCAATAAGGCCACTGCCACCCTGGTTTGTGTCAGCAATAGGGTGGCCAGCTTGATCAGGGCACTGATTGTCCCCCTGTACTCGGCATCTTGTTATATGCACCAAGTGGTTTAGATTCTGATTTGCATATTCACTGTTAGCAATAACTGCTGACTCTATCCAAGACGTGTGTTGACCTAGGGAGTTTTGCCCAGTGGGGTATAATGAGATTTCTATAATGGAATTCTTTATTCCTCCATGGAGATTTTTTTGTTGTATAGTTAATCCCTGGGTTCTGTTCTTTGTCCTCCCATGCATACATACAATGAGGTAACAAGGTTAAAAAATATAACACTTTCTGTTATGTTTATTAAAGGAAGTAAAAGGAGAGTGTTTAATACCTGCATTTGGTTACCATCTCAGAGTAACATTCATAATTCTTTTGGGGGTTATTATGCACCTGTGTATATTATTAAGCATTAAAAGCATATAAATACATGAGTAGAATTTTCCTGAACTACATCAATTGTTTAATATTGACCAGAGGTTATTAAATGTGAACGGAAAATGGTTTTTGATTAAAGCTACATATGGATATCACTATATCCTATCCAGTCCTATACTGTTCACTCTGCTCCCTGCTGAGAAACAATTTTAACTTTTTATTGCAATAACTGAATAGTATTTTGTCAAATGTAACAAATCATATAAAGGACAGCTCTCGAAAGCTGACATGAGACTGATTATTTGCAGTTGTAGAAGGGTACTAAAATGAAAATATGAGTTAAATGACATTTCACTTAAAACTATGCTTGACTCTCTGTATAGAGAAAGAGGAATGTGAAATGAGTGGAATAGAATTTTTTCTAGCTGAATCGCTAGAAAACCAAATCTGTTGTAGTTACTTGCAAGAGAGCAATTCGTAAATATTAAAGTACTGGTCGAAGTTTGAAATTAATTGTTTTAATAATAATATTGGTATCCATTGTTATTGGTTTTTGTTGATGTTACTCTTTGTGCTTTGATATTGCTATGGTAACAAGAGGGTTCCTTCTTTTTCCTTTACAGAAGGTGAGGAGACTGGAGTGATGGATAGCCTGTTGGAGGCCTTGCAGTCAGGTGCAGCTTTTCGAGACCGAAGGAAAAGGACACCAAGGTCCAAAGGTGAATATTATATTTTAGATTTTATTCTTCAGAGAAAGTTAAAAGCATTACAGGTCCAGTGCTCTAAAATTTAGATGCTGTCAGATTTAATTCATTTGCACAATGAGTTTTCAGGGACTGTTGCTTATGTCAGTAAGCCTGGAAATTAATGTACTGAACTTATTCTAGCCAGATCATTATGACAAGACTTTTCAGTACAGCCAAATGTACTTTAACATTTTAGGGTTTATAGTTGTATGGGGAAGTGACAGTTATCTTGCTCCATAAGTGAGTCTGAGTCAAATTATTTCTCTGGTATATAACTGTAATTTATTCCAAGAAATACCTAACTTGTAATTCTTAAATTCCTAAACTTCTGCTTTGTAATGTTTTAATACTCTGGTAGCATTCAAACAGGTGTTTTATTTCCATTGTTTCTTTGCTTTTGCAGACACACCACAAAATCTCAGTCCAACCACACAGCGGCCTGTGCTGAAAGCTTGTAACCATGGTAATGAACCATATTCATGAATTGCATGCACTTCTTAGCTTAGCTTATGTAGTTGATCTGTGCTTTCAAGACTGCTGTGATTATTTTTTCCGTTTTATACATCAGTGGAGTACTAAACCATATTGCAACTTGCTTTTTAAGAATTATCTGAATATTACATCCTGAGACTATACTTACTGATTCCTCTGCAAAGCTCTTCTACCTTTTGTGGGATTTTTATTTATTTAAATTTTGATTATGTTTTTAAATTGCAGTAGTTTTATAATCCTTAAGAATCATTATGCAAGTGTTTTAGGGTTTATGGAATTGTAAAAGAAAGCAGAGATTGTGTAATGTTTCAAGTGTTAGTTACTAAGTGCCTATTATACTGAATCTGAGAACTCTTGGCATTCATTCTGTGTTTCTTTGTCTTGGTTTTCTTGGTGCTATAGCTGGAATGATTTAAGCTATTGTTTATCAGTATTAATTCAAAAGGAGTGTTGACTTAACGAAGTTATAGTAAATGTTTATTTGTAAACTACTGAACTATCTCACTGTAATCAGTAGGACTTGTTCTTGCAAGTGACAGTGCCGGTGTGGGTGCCTGTTACCTTTGTTAGATAGTCAGTCTGCAGAATATTGCTATATTGGCTGTGTTTTAATTAAGCTTGAGGAGTCCAGAGTGACTCAGTTGCTTATGACTAGTGGTCTCAGGAAAAAGTTTATATCTGTAGTCCTTCTGTTAAAGAGAAAGTTGAATAATGGGGGAAAAAGATCTTTCTTAGTTTTTAAGCAGATTGCACTATTTTTTGATATTTAAATACACTGTGGGTTTTATAAAGCAGATGTCATAAAATTGATTATATTAATTTTACCTCATGTGTAAGTGTTTATTTTTCTAAGTGAGTGTAGCAAAAAAAACCCCAAACCTGTTGAATTTGGCATATAAAAAACAAAATTGAGGAAAATAGAGCTGAAAGGACAGTTTGTCGATAATTACAGAAATTGAATCAAAGAGAAGTCAATTATATTTGACAGGTATTTGTCTAGCTCATAACATATTGATATTTAAGTAATGACTATAGAGCACATCTGAATTTATCCTGTAAGTGGTTCTGCTTGTAAGAGCATTCATATTGAATACTGCTTCTTATCAACACATTCCATCTAGGTGTCTGTAGACAGACTTGTAGCTTCCAGTTTTCAAATTTAACTACCTTTGGTCAAATATTATGGCCATGTTTCAGATTAAAAAAAAAAAAAAACAACAAAAACAAACACTCACACTGAAATTTAACTACCTTTGGTCAAACATTATGGCCATGTTTCAGATTAAAAAACAAAACAACAAAAACAAACACTCACACTCACCAAAATTTTAATGCTGAAAAATCTTAGTCTAAACCATGGATAGATTTGTACATCAGATGGATATCATTTGGTGCTAAAATTTGAAGTTCAGACATCTGATTTGGTGAGAAGAGTAAAAGTAAACTCTTGGATCTTTTGTTGTTTTTACCAAAGTCAGTTTCTCCGTAGAACATTTTGAGACAGTCTCATTCTAAGACATTTTAAAATTAATTCAATGTTCCTTTCACTTGTCTTGTTGGCTCAGAAACAGGCTAGTACAGATCTGAGCTTGATTTTAAGGAATTCATTAGCATGTTTTTGATTTGTTGACACTTGTCACAATGTCTGTGTGTTACATCTTACTATCTTGAGCCAAATAGAGCACCAAACCTGTTGTAGATTATGATGAGTTCAAAGTCTTTTTTTCCTTTTTAGTAAAAGTATATGGTCATTTAGGTTACATACTGTCTAGAATGAATGGTAGACTGAGTGTCAAAGTCAATTTTGGATAATAAAAACCTTAATAAAGTTAATGTAGTCAGTCAAGACAGGAATTATAAGGATAAGGTTTCTTTAATTTTCTGGGTTCAACAGTGTATAATGTCAGTATTGTTCTCTGTATAATTTTTTTCTTGCACTTTATATCTGATATATACATACGTGCTCAATTGCCTGTTCTTTCTATCTGTATGAATATAAGTGATAAATGCACTATATAACAGTCTATTACTTATATACCATACAAGCAAGAAGTCTGTGACTTCAGCTCACTTCAGCTTCACTTCTTATGTCCCCAGAAACTGGGATATGTTATTAGACAGAAGTATTGGCTTGATTGTTCCTAATTTGCTATTTTTTTTTCCCAGCCTAAAACTTCAAATGGATGCCAAATTTTATATCATGGGAAAAAACCACTCTCTTACTGTAAGGCTAAAATGTGTGGAGATTGCTGAAAGTCCTTAAGCAGCAGTTCAAGCACTTTCAATGTTTGCTTCTGGTTTTGGCTGTTTGGGTTGACTTGTTACTGGATTGGTTACTGTTTATTCTGCTGAGACTGACAGATTCACTTATAGTAGATATATTCTATTAATGCACATTGCAGATTCATACCTAGGATTCATCATACAGTCAAAAAGAATTACAAACCATGACTTACAAACCAAACCAGATCCAAGCATAAATAGTGTTATAACCCCAAGCTGGCAATTAAGTGCCTCGCAGCCACACGCTCTGTCTGCTGGTGTGATGGAAATAGGTAAAGCTCATGGGTTGAGGAAAGAACAGTGTAATAATTGAAATAGGTTAATAATAATAATAATAATAATAATAATAGGGAGGAGGAGAAGGAGGAGTAAAAAGTAGAGGGAGGGAGGGGAATGAAACACAAGAGAAAAAAGTAATACACAATACAACTGCTCACCACTGTGAGCCAGTGCTGAGCCAGTCTCTTCCTGGCAATCAACATCTCCTGACCAACTTCCTCAGTTTGCATGCTGAGCCTGATGCCATATGATATGGAGAATCCCTTTGGCCAGTTCAGGCCAGCTGTCCCAGCTATGCTCCCCCCCAGTTTATTGTGTCTCTGCCCACTGAGCAGAGCACATGCAGAGCATGTGAGCATCCCAAAGCATGGGAACCTGAAAATTCTTGACTGAGGGTTGGCACTGCTGAGCAACAACTGGTGTGTCATCAACATCCTTCATAGACTCAATTCAAAACAGAGCACTGTACCAGCTACTTGGAAGGAATTAACTATCCCACACAAACACGGGACAGGAAACTGGTTCCATGTCTCATGGGGCATGAGAAGGGAGAGAAATACAGCATGAATGCATACTTTCTCCGTAGCTGTCATATAAATGGAAGCAGGAAGGAAATTTTTCTAACCACTGCCAGTGTCACCTTCAGTGTGATGCTACACAAGGTATCAAACTAGCATTTGCTTTTCAGGCTTAGCCAAACCCTGTAAAACAAAGTAATACAGAGAAGCAAGACAATGCTGCTCAGGTCTAGGACTGAGAACTGGAATTGTTTCCTTTAACTAAATAGACTGCTTAAGGAAAAAGAAAAAAAAAAAAAAGAGCAATAATAAATTTAGTGAAATGCTAGCTAATGCGTGGGCCATTTTTCTCTTCGTGATTTGTTGAGCTTCCCTGAAAGCTCTGGTAGTGTTCAGCTGGTACTTCTAATTAAAAAAGAGTGCTTGCTCTCATGCCACATTCCATGGTAGCAGAATGTGTTATTTTATTTTCAATCCTACTGTATTCTTCTGTTATTGAACAGATTGCCTCTTTCTAACATGATATGTGTTTAAAAAAACATGTGTTTAAAAAAAGATTAGATATGGCACTTGGTGCTGTGGTTTAGTTGAGGTGTTAGGGCATGGGTTGAACTCAATGATCTTGAAAGGCTCTTCCAACTTTGTGATTCTGTGATATGTAGGTTTTGTCAAGTTTAAATCTGCTCTATTTTTGTGACCAGAATTACCAGTTGTATTTTTAATGCTTTTGACAAGGCCCATCAAGTCACAATATTTCTTGTGGAGAAAAATTCCTGCTGCATAACTAACAGAAGTAATATACGTTAAGAATTGATAAGTTGTGGAAGTGTTTTAATGCCTTAAGAATGCAAGTAATATGCACTAGATCTTAGTGGATATAGATACGATTGGTATATATCATTCCCATTCATAGTGGTTTTTATTTTTAAATTACCTACTGAATTACATCTATGTGCAAAACTATGTGTTAATGTTACAGTTTGCTTTAACTGCAAAGGACCATGGACTGCAGTAAATATTGTGGTACATGCTTTTGCTGTAATTCCAATTCAGAGCACTGTTTGACGCAAGCAAAGTATTGGTATAGTTTAAGTGGTGTGCTTAGGATTCAATAGCATCTAACCAAGGAGCTCTTTTATTTTATTTAGGAAGCAGAAGAAAGCACTTAATTTTCAGCAATCAGGATTTTGCACATTAGAAGATCATTTCAAGCAGCTAATAGCTATGGCTGATCTAAGTTTTTCAGTTATTTACAACAAGAGTCAAGGCATATTTGCAGCTTGTATGTTTAATTCAAGCTACTGAAGTCCAGATATATGGAGCAGCATATCCAAAGCAGGGCAGAGCCCACTGCAGCACAGAAAGCTGCATCATTCACTAAGTTTTTGGTCAGGTTTTACAGCCTGCATCAAGTTCTCTGCTGCTATGGCTACGCATTTATTTGCTGTAGCATTAGCCAAGCTAATACTACCTGAATTGCATGAATACAAATTTGAGATGCAGCTTTGATTGCATGTAAACACATACCTCAAATGCAGCAGAAAGACTTTATTTTTACAAGCTGATCGTATTAAAAATGCTGTAAGTAAAGAAAAGCTATAATAAAATGCAAGCAAAAAAATATAGATTGCTTTTTGAGACTGCAGAGGTTGAAAGAAATCTTTCTGTCACAATCAGTAATTGCATTGTGGACTACATTTCTAAAGGTGACAAAAAGGTCTTGTTTCTATATTGAGATCAAACTTCCATGGTAAGAGATGGTTGTAATTGTTATAGGTGTTTGTTCAGTGAATTTATACGCAATAGAATAATTTTTATGTCACATCTAGTCTGAAGCATTTTAAAGACTACTGTTAAATAAAACCCTTATGTAGTAAAGTCATTCTGTCCC